TCTGCTCTCTCTCCTTGCCACCTGGGGTTTCATTTTATGGAGGACTACGAGAGTTAGTCTCTCAACTTCCTCCCCCTCTGCTCGTTCTAGGCGATTTTATGCGCATCATACTGTGGGGCTGTGCTTCCACGAACACTCGCGGTAGGCTATGTGAGACTTTCGTGTGTGACGAAGGTTTGTGTGTTTTAAATGAAGGAGCAAGAACGCATTTTACATTGCCATTAGGACAGTTGTCAGTGCTAGACCTGAGCATTTGTAGTCCGCAGTTGGTACCACACCTCACCTGGGATGCTTCAGAGGACCCCCTCGGAAGTGACCATTTTCCGGTCTGGGTTCGGTACCGCGGTGGTACTGTTCTTGGTACTCGACCTCAGCGTTGGAATTTCAAGAAGGTGGACTGGAGTGGATTTGAGACCCGCCTCGATGAAATCCTTTCGAACAATTTCGACTCTGCGGCTCTGACGACGGAGGAATTTTCGTCTCTCGTTTTGGATGCGGCGAAAGAATGCATTCCGCCCACCTCCGGATGCCCTCGTCGCACCCCTGTACCTTGGTGGAGCGAGTGTCGCGACGCTATTCGTGCACGTCGGAGAGCTTTTAGGGCTTTTGACTGGCACAGCAGTACATTAAACCTCATGGCTGTCAGGCAAGCACGCGCGGCTACGCGCCACACTATACGAGGGGCGAAACGTGCATCATGGCGCAGCTACGTCAACTCTGAATCGCCTCACGCCGACGTCACATGTATGGGGCCGCATTAAAAGAATTGCTGGACTGCATCCACCAATCTCCCTTCCCGTACTGCGAGTGGGAAGTCAAGACATCACTCACCCAAGTGATGTCGCGGAAGCCATTTGGGAAGCCATGTCAGACCGTTGCCGAAATGGCACCTGCGATCCACGGCACCGGGCGCGATGTGAAACTTCGCAAGATAATTTTTATACAGTGGACATCCTGTTAAACGTACAACGTACGACAAGCGTTTCACTATGATGGAACTTCAAGCGGGCATTCGCTCGCTGCGTAGTGTAGCGGAGGGGCCCGACCTCATCCACAATGATATGGTACGGCATTTTCCTCCCCGTGTACTACGAGCACTGCTGGCACTTTTCAACCGCATATGGGAGTCAGGTAGCTTCCCGCCAACCTGGCGAGAGGCCATAGTAGTGCCTATTTTAAAGCCCAGGAAAAGTGGGACGATTTCCCTTAACTAGTGCCCGATCGCCCTCACATCTTCGCTTTGTAAGCTCATGGAAATAATGGTGAATGTGCGGCTCTCGTGGACTTTAGAACGTCAAACTTTTTCACGACGAATGCTCAGTGCGGATTCCGTAAGAACAGGAGCACGATTGACTACATCTTAACTCTTGATACCGCAGTGCGAGCCGGGTTCATTAGCAAACGTCATACCGGCGCCATCTTTTTTGGCATAGAAAAAGCTTATGATACCACATGGAGACATGGCATTCTGATGAAGTTACTCGACTGTAGCGTCCGCGGTCACATGGGAAAGTTTTTACAAATTTTTTGACTGACATGTTCCTTCGGGTGCGTATTGGTTCTCATCACTCCGACAGGTATCGGAATGGTATGCCTCAGGGCAGCCTATTAAGTGTCATTCTGTCCGCCGTGATGATTAATGACATAGGAGACACGCTTCCACATGGGATCAGCCGTTCTCTGTTCGTAGACGACTTCGTCATTTGGTGTAGGTCATCGACCACTCGCACGATGGAGCGACAGCTGCAGCTGGTGTCACGTCTGGAGAAGTGGAGTGTGCTGAATGGGTTCCGGTTTTCCACATCGAAGACAACTGCAGTCCATTTCTGTCGTCGTCGCCGTCACTGTCCTGAAATGGAAATCAGGCTGTATGGGCATCACGTCGCCAATGACAGTACTGTGAAATTTATCGGTATACGATTTGACCGACACCTAACATACCGCGAGCACATAAGAAATCTCCGCGACAAATGTTTAAAATCTCTTAACATCCTAAGGTGCGTAGGACGTACATCGTACGGTGCTGATAGGACACTCGTACTCCTATGTCGTTCCCTGATTCGTTCAAAACCTGACTACGGCTGTTTTATCTATGACGGTTCTTCAGGCCTGATCAACGTACTTTGAACACGGCGCATCACACCGCACTACGTATCGTCACAGGGGCTTCTCGAACATCGCCCATAGATAGTCTTCTGGTGGAGGCTCACGAGCCCCCACTAGCATTGCGAAGGCAGATGATGGGGCTGGGCTACACGTGCAAGCTGGCGCAGTTCCCAGATTATCCCACCTACGAAGCAGTGTTTTCGCGACGGTTCGAAGACGGATGCAGGTGTAGGGTGCGCTTTTGTGTGCGGATCCACAGCCCGGTCATTCACACTGCCTTTACACGCGTCGGTCTACACTTCTGAGCTTATAGCCATCAGCAAAGCTCTCTGTTTTATTGAGGTGGACGATAGCAATCTGCATTTGATTCTTTCAGACTCCTTGAGCAGTCTCCTGGCTGTTGGCGGCTTCTCGTCGAATCCACTGGTCCAGGACATTCAATTGTGTCTTAGCTCACTGGATCGAGCAGGAAAAACGGTCGTACTGTGCTGGATCCCAAGTCACGTGGGGATCTGCGGAAATGATCCTGCTGACGCGGCAGCAAAACGCGCTACGACTGGGACACGCATTCCTTAAACACAACTACCAGCTCAAGACATGTACACCGCAGTGTCGTCGTTTATGCAGAAGTGGTGGCAGTTCCACTAGAACTCGGCGAGCGCTAATAAGCTGCAGTCCGTGAAGCCCCATATTGGACTATGGCAGTCGTGTTTTCGGGACAATCGGAGGGAAGAATTTTCTCTTTGCCGGTTGCGCATAGGCCACACATATGCTACGCATCGTCACCTGGTATTGGCTGGCAACAGACCATGCTGCAGTCGATGCTCTGACCCGCTGATCGTACATCACGTACTGGTCGCTTGCCGTCACCGAACTGCATTGAGAGCGCAGTTTTTCGGACACTACGTCCAGAGTCGCACGCTATGTGACTAGGAGATTCTTCGCACGCTGTCGAGTTTGGTAAAGTGCTCCAGCTTCTTCGTGCTAAAGGTTTCCCGTTGATCTTTTCATCGTCATTCTAGGCCTAATCATCAAGGCTTTATAGGGTGACCTGATTGATGCACTTGCCTGATTGGCGGCTCTGTGTAAATTGATAGTTATGGGCGCTGCATGACCTACAGCAGTCGATGCACCCTTAAACCCCAAGTTATGATCATCATCGGCGGCGACGGAGACGGCGTCCGGGCGTCACGGGTCGTCGGCGGCGGTGTCCGGGCGTCGCAGGCCCGTCGGCGGCGGCAACGGCAGCGGTGTCCGGGCGTCGCGGGCCGTCGGCGGCGGTGCCCGGGGCGTCGCGGGCCCGTCGGCGTCGGCGACGGCGGCGATGTCCGGGCGTCAGCCCCGACAGATGCGGGCGGCCCAGCGGCGGCAGGCCGCATTGGATGCCGACGCCGGCCGACCGGCTGGGACGGAGCGGCGACGTCGGCACTGCGGGGGCGCTGTCCGCCGGCCGGCGACGCTCCGGCCGTTGTCTGCCAGCCAGCGACGCTCCGGTCGTCGTTTGCCAGCCAGCGACGCTCCGGCCGTTTTCTGCCGGTCAGCGGCACTCTGGACGTTGTCTGCCAGCCGACGCTCCGGTTAGGTTGGGCTGCGGGTGTGCGGTCTGCAGATGCTGCAGCTGCCGGTATGAGCGTGATGCAGAGCCCGATGTGCGTGTCAGCGTGGCGTGCTGTGGAAGGCTATAGGAAAGACAAATGTCGGGGCAGGGCGACTCTGGGGACTGGGTGGATACTGTTGGGAGCGGGAATGGGCCCTGTTATGGAGCTCTGAGACGGGCATGTATGGCGACCGGTAAATAACATCAAATGACTTACTTTATTCGGACGATTTCGACATGCATAGAGGGTGACGCGCCTTGTGTAGTGATAGGAAGCTCCGCATCATCGTCACGCTACAAAATGTGGGTGCAGTCTAGCGCTGTGTAATCCCGTGGGCAGGTTTTATCCAACTTCCTCTCCGTCGTAAGCTCGGAACGCACTTTACGCAACCCGCTTTGCGCCGACTCTTCCGCGCATTGCGGCTTGGAGGTCGAGCCGCCGTCGTCAGCTCCTGACACCTGTCCTGTGAGTAAGAATCGCACTCGGTTCCGCTTAGGTGGAAGGAAGGTGGCGCGTCGGTCCGCTCTGCGGCGCGGCGGAGCGGTCCGGAAGGGCGCCGCCGGGGCACGGAACTGCTGGCCGCCGGTGGCCGGTCTCCACAGACCTGACGACGAAGTGGACGGACTGACATATCCTGTGGACGAGCTCATACAGACTGGACGGGCTGACACAGACCGTGGACGGACTGACGCATACTGTGGACGGACTGGCAGACTGGACGGACTGGCACAGACTGGACGGTCTGGACACATACTGTGCAAGGGCCGTCACGGACCGTGGCCGGACTGGCACAGACTGTTGAAGTGACTCACCTGTCACGAGGGCTGCCCCTCAGCGGGAGAGGAGAGCACCAGGAGGGGGCTATAATTCCCGGACGGTGGCCCGACCCCCTCGCCGTGCCGTGATCGGCACGGCGAGGGCGGCGCTCTGCTCCACGCGGTCGGCGCCGCCGACGTCGGCGAGCGCTGACGGGGCTGGCCGTCCGGCCCTCGAGCGCCCGCGGGAAGGACGGGGCCAGCGCCGGTGGACTGTCGCTGGACGCCAGCTGTCGCGGGCCCAACCGCTCCCGGTCTGGAGCTGAGCGCTGTCCAGTCTGCGGCGTGACCCAGTGTGACGTCACGGTACCGGTGTCGGCCGTGACGCGGCCAGCTCGGCGCGTGACAGGTGTGCTGTTGAACCTGTCGCAGTGGGGAGGCGCGGCGTCTGTCTCGTTTGTGGCCTGCCAGCTGCCTCGGTCGCCCTGTGATTCCGCGCTGCGTGGCCGCTGTGTAATGGCCGTCCCCCGTCTGTTTGCAGAGCCAGTAAGCCCAAACCGAAGCCGGCGGCGACCATCAGCGATACGGACTCGGAGTTCGAGGCGTCGCCGAAAAAGGCCGCGCCGGCGGCACGTCACGATAATGGTGAGACATCACGGCGTACCCGCGCTGCCCGGCGCACAAGCGCAATGGCGGAGAGCCGGGAAAAGACGAGTGACTGCGGCCATTTAAATCATTACTCAGACCGTGCCATTGTCATATACGGGCAGTGGGACAATGGCAAGCGACCGATGGCACCGTTCAGGGCGTCAGGCATTTATCGCGATTATCGGTCATGCACAAGAGATGCTGGTGGGACCTGCGCGCACCCGTGCGGTCCCTCATGTGTCAAGCTGTCATTTTCAGCTGAGCGTGAGTGGGTACAATTTGAACCGTTTTACGGTTCTGTGAAGCAGGCAAAGTTTGAGACCGAGTTTAATTCTCTGCCGTCTTTCGGCCAGGAATAGCAGTTAAAGCTCTCTGCAGCTGGCACTTATTTGAGATAAGCCCCGTACCGCTTGCAAGTTACGGGACTGATGTCCACTTCGATGGCGCTCATTTCCATACATGATCTTCAGTGTCACCCGCATGGCTCCCGGAGACGGCTTTACGGCCCCGCTGTCGGCTGCGGTGGGCCTGTTCGCCCCTGATGGGGTTGGCCTGCCGGCCGAGGAGGGCGGTGTCGGCTCAGGCCAGCCGTGTCGCCGGTGACCCGTTGACCCGCACGGGTCCCGGCCAGGCGAGGCGAGGCGAGCGTCGGCACCGGGGCAGCGCCCTGCCGAGCGCGGCGGGCGACGGGCGCTGCGTTGCGCTGCGCTGCGCTGCGCTGCGCTGCGCTGCTCTGGCTGCTGGGCTGGGCTGGGCTGGGCTGGGCTGGGCTGGGCTGGGCTGGGCTGGGCTGGGCTGGGCTGGGCTGGGCTGGGCTGGCTTGGGCTGGGCTTGGGGGGGGGGGGGGGGGGGAGCGGGGCCCAGCCAGCCCGCGCCCGCTGTGATCCCGCCGCAGCGCCGGCCGGAGGCGCTGCTCTCGGGCACGCTCGGTCGGCCGGCACTCCTGAGAGCGGCGAGCCACGCGCGCACGCGTCCTCGGCTCGCCACTGCGCGCCGACGGCGCTCAGCTGACGCTCGTTGGCGGCGCGGCGGCCGGCCTTCGGGATTCCGTATCTTCCGCCCGCGGCGTCCGATGCGCGGCGATGCTGGCTTCCCTCCGCCGCCGACGTAGCCTGCATCAGCCAGGTTTCCTTTATGCGCTGCATGCGCCGGACCGTAGGACCCTCAGCCTGTTGCAGGGGTTCGGAATTCACGATGAGCCTGCGAGTGACTGGTCCGGTGCAGACATCACTGGACTGGGCGGCACGTCGCACGACCTGGCGACCGCAGGCGCCTGCGAATCCCCAGTCTAGCCGGGTGGCCGGCGCCGCTTCTGCCCCACTGGTGGCCTGGCTGCCGCCCGAGCGGAGGCGGCTTCGGAGGCCGCACACGGCGGCGCCCCGTTGCCCAAAGTGGGTCGAGATCCGACGCAGCGGAATCCGCGCTGTCGTACTCAGCACTTTTCCTGATGTGTGGCCGCCGAGATTGTATGTGCTTTATGGCGCAGACCCAGTTTTGCGGTGACTTGTGGCCGGCCGTGGCGGGCCGGCGCCGGCCGGCGGCGCGCCGCCCCGTCACCCCGGCCGGTGTCGCGGCGCCGCGCTCCCGTGTTTGGGCCACACAGTCGGCGGGTGATCAGTGTCAGCGCCGATTCGGGAATGGATGGACCCGGAATGGATGGGCGGCGCGACCGAGTCGCGGCGGTCGCCTTTCAGCGCGGCGGTCGCGTTCACCCCTTTCCCCCTCATGCTGAGGTCGCGGGCGGATATACTGGTTTTGCGCGTTGCTAATGGATTTCTTCCAGTCCTGGCTTTTCCAATGAAAGGAGGAAGTAGTTTTTTTTGCGGTGACGACTTCTCCCGAACCGCATTACACAGAAAGCCAGGGTCGTAACGTGCCGCTGTTTTTTTTTTCTCGCCGCGGCGAAGCGGCCAGCCATCGTCGCTGGCAAAAACGACCACGCAGCCGGGTGCGCCGTTTGCTGCCATCGTGTAGTCCTGCTATCCAGTCGCTCCGTCCCGACTTGTATCGCGAATGCCATCTGTACGTTTCTCCTGGCAATTGCATCGGACGAAATTAATCGGTTTGGCGCTAGTTTGCGCGCGGCTCTGTTCATCGCATCACTCCTGGATTGGCCGGGTGAATGTCACGTGTCTGGACGTCCCCTCGTGCCGCGTGTCGAGTGGCGTGAGCCGGCTCGCCTCAGCTTTTTGTCTGGGTTCCAGCCAGAAATGAATTCCCCCGGCTCGAGATGTGGCAAGGGACGGCGGGAAAAACAAGCCGACGGTTCACTAATTCGCCAGCCACTGTTGTGGCCAGTCGGACGCCGCTGGTTCAATTCGTGTGGCTGCGAGCCGCGATTGCTGCAATGCGGGTGGTGCTAGCTGCTGGGCTTGCAGGAGGGCGGCAGCGCCGGCCTGCCGGATGACGGCGGGGTGGTCGCAGCGGGCGGTACGCGAAACGCACCCCGTCGCTGGCGTGTATCTGGGTCCGGTGATGTAAGCGGGGCGGGGGACGCAGTAAACCTGCCCGATCGCCGTCACATGGTCGGGTCCGGTGATGTGAACCATGGTCAGGCCCGGTGATGCGAACCATGGTCGTGTCCGGTGATGCGAACCATGGTCGGGTCCGGTGATGTGAACCATGGTCAGGTCCGGTGATGTGAACCATGGTCGGGTCTGGTGATGTGAACCATGGTCGGGTCCGGTGATGTGAACTATGGTCGGGTCTGGTGATGTGAACCATGGTCGGGTCCGGTGATGTGAACTATGGTCGGGTCTGGTGATGTGAACCATGGTCAGGTCCGGTGATGTGAACCATGGTCGGGTCTGGTGATGTGAACCATGGTCGGGTCCGGTGATGTGAACTATGGTCGGGTCTGGTGATGTGAACCATGGTCAGGTCCGGTGATGTGAACCATGGTCGGGTCCGGTGATGCGAACCGTGGTCGGGTCCGGTGGATGTGAACCATGGTCGGGTCTGGTGATGTGAACCATGGTCAGGCCCGGTGACGCGAACCGTGGTCGGGTCCGGTGATGTGAACCATGGTTGGGTCGTGTGATGTGAACCATGGTCAGGCCCGGTGATGCGAACCGTGGTCGGGTCCGGTGATGTGGAACCGTGGTCGGGTCCGGTGATGTGAGCCGTACCGGCTGACACGGCCGGGCACGGTTCGGTGCGGAGTCCGGCGCTCAGCCCAGCCAGCCGGGCCGGCTGGCTGCGGCCGCCGCTATTCAACGGCGCTCCACGCCGCATTGAATTAGCGCCACCGGCAGGCTGCCTCTTTCGGACGCCATTTGCCGGCAGGTTTGTAGCGACCTCTTGTGGCGCTGGCGGAATGTTGATGGCCGGCCACTGTGTTTGGCTCCGTGGCGGCCGGGGCGACCCTGCGCATCGCGCAGCTGTGGAGAGAGAGGGCCCGCACTGGCGTGGACGCCGGCGCTGCTTCAACGGCTCAAGCCGCACGGCCCGCCTTCATCAGCATCGAGCACATGCATGGACCTGCGCGTGTAAGCGCGCCTGTGGGCTAGCACCGCGGGATCTTGTCTATCCCATTGCGGCAAAACGAGCCTTTCTTCCGATGGTCGTAATCATACAAAACATTGCTTTTTTCGCGGCGTTCCTGCTAACGAACGTCGTAAACGCGCGGGTGCTGATTCGTTGCTCGTTTATTTATTTTATTCGTTTATTCGTGTGCGCTACGTGCTGCTGTCCAAACGAACGCGCGTTTGCAACAGGTCAACCGGATGCCGCTTCCCCCAGTGGTACAAATTATGATGTGCCTACGGTAATGTTTCAAAAAGTAAAAGGCTGCGTTTGTCCACAACTGTCATGTTTGAGATGTCAGCGCCAAGCCGATGGCTATGAACCGTAGCAACGAAACGTTTTCGACTAAGACTTTTACTGAATCTGGTGAACTCTGCCACTGACAGCATTCCTGTCGCCATCATGCCGATATTTTGTTGAATTCCTATGTTTTAGAACTTTGCTCCCGAAGCTGGGTATTTGATTTCACCATTCAGCATGTGACTGATCCCTAACGTTGGAAGGTACGGCGGGCACTGGGAACCTCGTCATTCAGCAGGCGTGTCCGTCTTTGTTTCGGTCTGCTCACAGCTATCAAGAACGACCTCACCGCTGAAAACTTCAGGATTGTTTTGTAGTTGTTTGCTAATTACAAAACACGAGCGCGGCATTATTTTGTAATTTACTCTGATGCCGTTCGTTGAAAGGGCGATTAACTAGCCGTGTTAGCGGTACAGCAGCAACGCCTTTAAGTCAGCGTGACCCGGTCAGACATCTGTGCCACCGAACTTTCCGCGTACCTACATAGTTCAAATGAAAATGTAGGTCTAGCGAAAATGCTTCGCGGGGGTATAGTTTCATCGCTGCCGCGACACTCGTGCCAAGTTCTTCAGACCAGGAGGGTACCTTGTGCGGCGTTGCACGAGCGAAACGGTAATATATGTGACATTTATCTGTCGTCAGTTTATGTACATGATGCCAAAAATTAAGCCAGCAAAGCCAGAGATGTCAGGCAACCGACTCCGACAACCCTTTACGAATGCATTGTAGGGGCGCCGTTCACTAAAATTTAACAGACAAGTCTATTGACGCAGCATTCGGGCTCAGATCCACAAGGCGTTTGCTTGCAGGATGGCAGGCTGTCAGCCCCGCTAGTCGCGGTGGAAATTGGAACGCACCAGTTAGTTCGCAGTTGTGTTTGCAGCTGTCACCTAGGGTGCTGTAAGTTACACATATTTTGGGTACGTGTTGGTCAGCAAGGCACGGCGTCTGGTATTCCCCATTGTTTTCGAAAAAGGCGACACTGGGGTTCACGTCTTCATCTGCTGTGGCTGCTGACATCTGATTTAGACCTTAACAACTCACCGAAACAGATGGGTCGGTCCGAAGCTGTCGCACGCACCTGCGTGACTGACTGCGCACATCGACTGCACGCATGTTGTTTATGCGGTTTTCTGCTGTCTCCTCCGTGCAAATATTTCATACGCCTATGTATGTCTCGTATGATGAAAATGTATGAAATTGGTCTAAAGATAATCAAATTCGGTGTACTAAAAATATATCAAATATGTCCAGATATGTCTCGTGTGACTGTGACGCCGGCCTGTGGGGATTTGAGCCCAGCTTCTAGCCGTGCTGTTCAGTTCGTCTTTTGCAAGTTGGAAATTTTTACTCGTCCGATGTCAAACGATCAGGGTAGTTGAAATCATAGTGATATTGCAGTGTTTCTCGAAAAGCTCGCATGATCGGACGGCTCGCATGAAAATATTAGACAATTCATGCACTAGAACTTCATGGAACTAGGCCTAATATTGTAGAAAGCCACATTAATCTGCAGTCAGTGTTGACAAAAATTTTAGCTTCTAGGAAGCGCGGTAGTCGGCTTGGGGCGAACCGCTGAGTGGGAAGTTTTATCGTGATTGAAGTAAGACCCACTCGTCTGTGCCTCGCTTTGGATACCGAAATATCTGATAAATATGATGTTATCTGCCTACTCAATTCCACGACTGTAGGTACCGTGCTTACTTACAGATTGATCTTTTTAACCCGGAGGAATAATTAATCATGATTCAATCGTGATCAATTCATTCATGATTGACACAAATGCGATGTAATTTCACACCAGGTATCCGATGTCACAGACCGCTTGAGTGATGTATCAGGTCTTGAGGCAGGGAGAGGGGCTTGGGCTTAACTCGTCCGATGACGGATTCGATGGTTGCATAACATGCGCGTACACAGGTGCGCAGAGAACGTACTCTGTTCGTCGTTGCCGGCGATCGAGCTAAAAAATCCGGCGCTCTTCGCGTCGACGAATGGCCAAATTCACAAACTATTGAGACGACCGATATTGAGGTGCGTGATGCGAATGGAAACCAAGTGCGTTGAAAGCTGACGGCGAGTGCGATGAAAGCTGCGATGAAAGCTTAATCCGAAGGAATAGTTCATCTGTCATGGTGGTGGTGGATACAAATCCGGTGTAATGAATTGACGTCCGATGTAATGAATGAAATGGCACCCACAAATGACATAGGTAACACTGTCCCAGTTTGCGTGTCGTTATCACAGGTCATTTTTAGGCCGTACAATTTTCTGTAAAGCTAATTTGATCCAGAAACAGGTAGATGAGTGCTGTAAAAGTCCAATGGTAGCAGTATTTTTCTGCAAATGGCTTCATCCGCTCGAAACAACGTCTCAAAATTCGCGATGATGCCACCGCGTGCTTTCTGCAGAATCAGCCGATACGGTGCTTTCCATCTATAAGACGCTCTCACGATGTTCTCGCAGCATCTTGCCGTGTATTTGTTTGTTTTTTTTCTCTCGTATCACTAGATATGTCGTTATGCTTATTAGACTGCTGGGCGCGTATGATCCGTATTTTGCTCTTGAATTTATAAAGTGAGTGCTCATTTTTGAACGTATCACTTCCCCTGGGATGCAGATGCTGTTATATGCTTGTGATAGGCGGATGCTGGGTAAAATTGTGTGCGATTGTCCCCGCGTATAACCGGTGCGCTTGTTACCATCGTATCATTTACATGCTATTTTACGTTTTGGAGAGAATCGTGAATTACTTTCTAATCTCAAGACTCAAGTCCGCCGGTCGGAGTATCCAGACTCCCGACAATAGGCGGCTGTCCTCGTTCCCGAAATAAGCCTGACTGTCTGGATAACCCACCAAAGTCTGACTGTCTGGCCTGCCGAAGTGTTCAGGTGTCGTGACGGGCTAGTTCGTACTTCACGGACTCCCGACGCGAGTCGGACCGTCCAGACTCCCGACATGATTGTGAGTGACTCTGCTGACTCCCGCGAGACCAGCGTGTGACGACCCGCGCTGCCGGCAGAGTCCGCCTCGGACATGTTCGACTCGATGATGTCCGGTAACGGCGAGCGACACGACTCGGACTCCGGCTCGGCCGAGTCGCACAGCGCCGCCGCCAAAGGTGAGGCAATCTCCCGCCCGGCCGCCGCGCCGGGCAGCTGACGCGGAGTCATGACTCGGCGGCGTGGTCCCCGCCGCAGGCGACCGGGCGCGCCGCACAGGGCAGGGACGGGATTACGGCACCAGGGGATGGGGCTGCCAATGGCTTGGCTTGGCTGCTGCCGACGATCGAGGAAGATTCTGTGAAGTTAGCATCTCAGGGAGGCCGTTTAGCGCTTGTGGAGGGGCGTCTGCTTCGGAGACGTCATTGGAGATATTTCCATGAGCGCTGGATCCGGGGAATGGGCTGTTGTATTCACATGATGTGGAATCCCAACAGTCGTGGAGCATGGACTGTCGGGAAGTGAGCTAGCGTTGTCACTGAAATACCCCACTACTCGGAAGCCGGCCGATTTCCGCGAAGTGCTTGGCCTCGTAGCAAGTTGTCTGGCATGTTTCGCTATGAAAGTAGGTGGCGTCGGTATGACAACACCCCATAGTGTGGTATCGGCAAGACGACGCCTCATACTGTGCAGCACGTGCTGCTGCCGTGCCGCCAGCTCCCTCCCACCTCCGACGCCGCGTGGTCGGTGGATCGAAGCCCGCAGCGATAACTTGCGCCCCCTTTGGAATTGAAAAGGAAAAACACCCTTCGCACGCTCGTCGAATGCGAGGACCTCCAGGCTCTCCTGCTGTGAAAACAAAGGTGTTAGAATTATGCGGAAGACATGATACGGATGGCTGAGCGGATGACTTACTCTGAGCCGCGTGATATTAAACTCGTTGAGCACCATTGCGCGTTGGGTGTCATGTACCATGCCAACGGCGTGGCCCGTTGTGTTCAGGACTGGGTGCGGTGTGGCTGCGAGGAAAGCGGGAGGGCTGGACAAGCGGAAAGCTGGACACGTTAGTAACCCGTCAGTGGGCGTGGCGAGTGACGCGTCAGATCACGTCGCAGGGTTCGAGCCGCGTGCGCGTCAGCCGCGTCCCGTTGTCTCGAGAGCTAGGCACCGTGCTTCAGCGGAGGACGCACGCTATGGCGCCTCAAGCTGTGCGTGGGTGTAAGAAAAGTAGCCGCGCTGCTGGGTTGGCGCGATAAATAATAAGCTAAACGCAATGAAGCCACAGCCAGGCCTGTGGCCAAGCCCCATGACAATGCACCACTCACTGTTCGGCACGTGACTATTTTATGCCCACAATTCGACGGTGGGTGTCCTTTTTATTCTGGAGGAGACGCTTCATTGCTTGCCTGTTGTGATATAGTTGGCAGTGTTTTACGCTTGCTTGCTCCGGGTCCACTGTTTTGGCCTCTGACAGGGTTTGCGGGCATCTTCACGCCGGGTTTTGTTTGCCATGCATGCGTTGCCTATCCATACACAGGCATGCGTTGGTCTTTTCGAAGTGACTCTTCTCCGATTGCCTATGCTCAATGCGCTGTTTTGGCCCGTCGCGATACCTGTCATCGGTCATCTGCGGTACAGAGGACGCAGCAGAGCAACGCTGGGGTCTCCCGCGCGGCGCTTCGGTATACTGGCGTCTAGCCCCGGACATGATAACTGCGGCAGTATACCGGCGTCTAGCCCTGGATGTGACGGCAGCCGCGGTTGTATACCGGTGTCTAGCCCTGGACATGATAACTGCGGCGGTATACCGGCGTCTAGCCCCGGGTGTGATAACTGCGGCGGTATCCCGGCCTCCAGCCCCGGGTGTGATAACTGCGGCGGTATCCCGGCCTCCAGCCCCGGGTGTGACGGCAGCCGCGGCTCCGCTGACGGGAAATGTCCGGGTTTCCTTGCGGCTCATTGTTGGGAGTCCCTAACGGCGGCGAAGCCGCGTGCTTTAGCAGCCGGTGGTCCTCGTTTTGACGGCGTTCAATTTCCCTGGTCCTGGCTGAACTTACATCTCCAATGCTGCGCTGCATACAGGGTGAATGTGATACGACCCCCTCCCCCACACCCCAAACATAGAGCAGCTCTTGTTTTGTGCTAAAATGAAAGCATTAGACAGTGTCGTGGTGACAAAGACATTTGCCGCGCCAGAGTTCTGTGGAGAAACATAACACAAAATCACCACCAAACTCTGCATGTTAAAACTTTGTATTTCCGTCTTCATGAATCAGAAGCGTATTTGACGCTGATGAACCTTGAGCGAACCTCGAGAAACAAGTGTTTAACAAACCTACCGTCGTGCGACCATTGTGGCTGCTACATACATACTACCTTTTCACGAGCCTTTGGCAGCCCGGCGGAATTATGGCGGTATGCAAGGTTTTCACGTCGCTTCAACCTTCAGCGTATGCCCGACGGCGCGTACAAATTTGTTATGGCTAGGAGTAGGTTTTGTTGCACTTAGGTCCTCTTGGGCATTCAGAAATGGGTCACATTCTGTGTTCCATCGCGGTCTCCCTAACCTAAAAGGGGTCGCTAATGAACCCGGACGTTGCTCACGGCGTAAAATAGATCAGAACATAATGTATTACATTTCACTAATGATAGATGTGTGGCACTATCAAACGGAAGGTCTGACGTTTTGAAGCGTGCTCTGCAGAACATCACGCCGTCTAGTCAAACCGCTCGTGCGTTGGTTGCTGGCTTCACCACATTACACGCTGATTACATCGGTGGCTGGTTCCACGGCCGCCTATCAAATGTAACAGGCAGCGGCGTCGCCTGCTGGCGGCACCGCGCCGCGCTACTGCACGGTGACCGTGGCCGTGGAGCCCATTGTGCGCCCACTCATGTGGTATTATTGCTGGACCGGTGGACTGGTATCATCTGGTGGACACTCATCGGGTGCCGTCTGCGTGGCCGACGCCTTTCGTGCTCAGCGGGCTGCCGCGCCACTGAGCGCGCCAGAGCGGAATGTTGCAACTTTCCACATAAAGCACGCCCATAACAACAACCTGATTCGGCGTGCTGGATGATTACCTTTCCCCTGAAAGACCAACTTCCAGCAGACCGCGGAGAGCGCCCGAGGGAACCCCACAAACTTTGTTTTTTATCACTGAGGCGACGTTCGCGCGGCTGGACCATATCGCATATCCAGCTGTGGTGGTATTCGTCCGGAGCGAGATGAAGCGGCGCGTGCATTAACATGCGGCGGGGTACATCGCTATCTTGGAGCGTAAGTGGTCGACACGGACTCGCCCTGTGAGTGCATTGTAAACCCGCTCGGGTACGGTGGCGCTTATCGTAATGTAATCTCGTGCTGTGTCGGGGGTAAAAGCCTGCCACGTTACCACGGGGCGACGCGTTTATCGTGTTTAGCTCGCGATCACGTGCGTGGTAGTGGCCTTAGCAGAGACTGATCAGGGCTCTGTTCTTGTCAAGGACGGATTGTTTATTTTTTATTATGTATTTCTGTGCTAGCATTCCGACGGAGGTATTGCATACGCATCATGGCCATGCGTACCACCAAGGAGGACTGAAAATGGGCTGGACGAATTCGAATAAAATGTCAGGGAGGTTGAGATTAATGCTTTGATGTGGTCATATCATACTGATGATGCGTGAAGCCCATGCACGGCATCCAGATCATGTATGATTTGGTTTTACCACGATCATTTTAAGCGCCAGATTTGTTTAGTGACCCCGTATCCCGCGTGGAGGCCAGCCCAGGCTGTACTCTGTCGTGAGATACCACAACGTAATAAACTGGAGGTCCTCCAGTCATGACGCGCACGAGATGGTTTGTGCTTTCAACGTGCTGGTATTCAATATGTTGACGGAGCAAACTTTGTGTTCTGTGGTGAATATCCGTGAGACGTCTTCCTTTTCGTTCCTAGGCACAGCTGTGGCCTCAGTATGTGTAACCTAAGTGTATGGGAAGTTCTTCCTGCTTGCTGGCGAGCTGCTGATGTGAGCTGGACTAAACAAATTTGACCCATATGGCCTACCAAGAGCGTTTCCGGGTCTTGTTCCAGTCGGAAGAAGCCGAAAATTCTGGCCAAGAAATGCAGCTTTTCAGACTGTTCACGCGGTCCCGAGTAACGAGAATGTCGTCACTTTTGCGGCCTGCTTTTGGAAGGAGCACTTCAGCTAAAAATGTCCTACAAAAACAGTGCGAGTAACGTGGGCCCATGTACGTCAAAGTGCGGAATTATGGCAACGTAAAGGGAAAAAAGATTATCGTGTTCAACGTGATACAACGAAATAGTAATATCCATATGCAATATGTATATATCTTGCAAAACATTGTCGATCATACCAGTATAGTGAGCAGCAGCCATGACATATTTAACTCCAAAGCGGCTCCGTGCCTTAAATCGTCCCGGCTCGCGCGGGCAATTCTTCCGCCGGGATGGAGCGTCGGCGGTGACATTTTCGAAGCCGCACAGGGCAGTCAGGCCTACATCCGGGGTCACCGTACCGTGCTGCTGGCCCCCAGCTGGGCTCGGGGGGCTTGGTGACAGGCACGCGGACGCCGACCGCTGTCGGGTGACCTTCCAGCTGGGGGGGGGGGGGGGGGGATCCCCAGTGGCAACCCCTGCCGGCTTCCCAGAGGAGCTGAGACTGTAAACGGTGCAAATGTCACCTGTGGGCGGTGGCAGCTAGCTATTGGACGTTGGACGCGGCACGAGATGCCGGGACAAGGAAGCGGCAGCTCAGAGCAATACAACCCAAGCTGGGTCAGTGGTTATCATGTTCTCGCAAAGTCAGGCAAGAAGAGGCAGTGCTCTGCAGACTACGTATTGGGCACACGTATGCAACTCACGGTTATTTGCTGCAAGGAGCCGAAGGACCATCTGTCATCGATGTGGTCCTGTTCTCATCGTTCGTCAGGTGCTCATATGTCCGCGCCTCATGGAAGAGCGTCGACGACACGTTAGACAGCGTGACTCGCCCTTAACGCTCTGTGACGTTTTGGGAGACAACTCGTGCCGTCTGGAATATTAACAGGTCTTTTTATTCCTTAAACATATCAACTTTGGGACTCTTAACACGGTTCATTAGTTAGACAAAACAAAAATCGTTATGGGCGCCAAATGACCACTGCAGTCGGCGCGCCCGAAAACACCAATCA